ATACTGACCACAATCCTCAGGCCTGGCGCTCTTTAGTGCTTGCAAAGGTTGCATGTCAACCACGCCATTAACTGGTCCACACCACAAGTCCTAGCAGATGAAAAGGCCATCGAGCAGCACTGCAAATGTGCTGAAGCATTGGAGAGGGCTCAAGTGTGGGGTCCTTACAGTATACTGACTTTCATTTTGGTAGTTGATCATTTGTTTTTCAGTGTCAAGATTTTAGGTCAAAACTTATATGAATGAATGAATGGAAAGTATACATTTTCAGCGAAGTGACAGGTCATTTTTTTAAACTATTATTAACCATGACTATTATTAATCATCTAGTAGCATTTGTACAAGTCATTTCAATTGTCCTGCAGTGCAGCAAATGAGTTTATGAAGTACAGATATTCCATGTAGTCTCTCCATGACAGTGGCTCACAAACAGGGGGCCGGGACCCACTAGGGGGCTTCAGCAAACTTCTAAGGGGGACTAAAGATGACTTAATGATTTAAATTAAGAAAAAAAACCAACAACAATTAAAATAAGCTGAAACAATTAAACACAATAGATATTTCTTATTCTAATTCACCCCCTCAAAAATGGTTTCCTTTAAAAACACTTGAAATCTCTGGTATCAGTTCAAACATTTGCTCACTTTGCTCATGTTGTGCTTGTGCTTTAAGTGTATTTGGAGTGGATGACGGCGTGAGAACAGTGAACTCGACATCGAAACGAGCTCCACCGCTCTCAATATTAATTTAGAAAGAGGAAATTGAATCATTCCAGGCAGCATCATCTCTATTTATGCAGCTGTAATGTGTTTTCATCTTGACAGCTGCTGACAGCACCTCTGCAAGCAGATGGTGAGACATAAGTGAGGACAACAGTGGTGTGAGCTCAGAAACAATTAAGACCACAAAATAACACGCGCACACACACAAACCTGCTCTGCTCAGCATCCGCTCCTCAAGCTGTATTGGATGAGAACCAAACCAGGCGATAGAAGTTATTATTAGTTCTCTTGATGCCAGTATTTTGATAAATCTTCCTAGGATAAACACCAATCAAAATCAGTTTCCCTGTAAGATTTGGCACTCCAGAGGCAAATTAGTCTAAGATACATTTTTTTATGTATCATCTTCAGCCCATAACTGTGACATGATTAAAAGGAGGGAAAAAAGCGCTTGGGTGCAACCACATATTTACTTAACCTGGCATTAATGAGAAGCTAGGGGAATTGAAGGAGCCGGCTGTTGCATTTTTCTTCATCTCGCTGTAGAGCCCACACGATTACCTCTAAAGTCTCTGAGACCTCCTACCTTCTCTCTGCACCCACACACGCTTGCAAGACACACTCTCCACAGCTTGGTTCATTCCACCCTCTCCTCCTGGGCTTCTATCAGGTGAGTGTTTTTAATCCTGAGGTAATTATGAGAGAGGGAAAAAAACAAGAGAGGGCTTAAAGACAGATGGAGGAGGGGTTACGTCGAGCGTACGGGCTGCTGCCTCCAACTCTGACATTTGTCGTGTTAGTGAAGGATGCAGTCGCTTGGGCTTTTCTACAACTTCTCGCATTAGTGAAACGATGACAAGAGAAGAAGAGGGCCGTGGAGGAGAGAAAGTCTAATCTCTGATGTGTTAATGCTGCTTATTCAAAGAAGCCTTCCATGCCCCAGATGTGGGATTTACATACGATAATTGGTGCTGTAACTAAGTCATATATTATCAGGAGAATTATTTTGTAGCGTACGGAGTTGCGGCTGATTGTTCTGTCTTTTGCTCCAAACTAGTGTAGCTACTGTGCATTGTCACACTCAAGGTTGTTGTTCCTCACTTTCATGTCCTCTGTTGTCACTGTTGCTATGGTTGTAGTGTGCCGCATATGCTGTCGAGATCACTTTTAGCCTAGTGCTGCGCTAATGAGACTTTGGCTCTCTTCCGTAGAGATCCTCGGCGCTAGAGATGTTCACGCGGGCTCAAGGCCGAGGAGGTGACGGCCAGAGCTGTTCCGGTTCGAAGAGGGCGACCAGGTCTCAGAGCATCTCAAAAGGACCCAGAGGACCTCGTAAAAGGCTCTGTAAAGACAGGCTGACCAGGGCTGCTCACAGCCTGGCAACAGTGGCTGGGGACCAGGGATGCACAACGCAGCAGGTAAACTTTATATATATGTGGCAAGACAAACATACCCTCTTTTCACAGCGATGCAACAGAAGAATAATTTTTGGTTCCCCAAAGAACCTCTCAGTGAACAGTTCTTAAAAGAACCACCACCATTTTAAAAATCTAAAGAACCTTTTACCACTATAAAGAACCTTTTGTGGTATGGAAAGGTACCATGGATGTTAAGATTCTTCATGGAACCATCAATGTCAAAATTAGAACTTTTAATTTTAAGAGTGTAGACATGGAGACTTGTGTTAGTGCAGTGGTCCCAAATAATTTATTTAAATTTTAATTATAAGTATTTTAATTGCATATTTGATCTGTGTACACTTCCAATTTACACAAATTAAATAAATAAATAAATAAATAAATAAATAATTTATTTATATTGTTGTGGACAGTGTGAGGCCTTGGAGACAAAAAGGTTTAGAGCCAAAGCTCAGCATTGTTTCTACACTGAAAAAAAAAAAATTTTTTTCAAAGTTGTAAATAAAACAAGGGTTATTAGATTTTTTTTTTCAAGAAAATATTATTTCAGTTTTTCTACTTCAAAATTTCACATTTAATTCAATGAGTTTCGATTTCTTTGTAATTAATTGTGAAATGTACTATCAAGAGTGAAAATTCTTTCACCACCTAATTTTTTTTTCAGTGTGAAATAGCACAGAGGTGTAGTCATAATGTTAAACACGGACCCCACAAATATTACATTGGTATGAATAATTCACTATATTAATATTAATTGACATTGATGAAATGCTCTTGTCCTGAATTGCTTTTCATCACGATTCCTTTTAAAGTTCATTTCAAACATGTCTCTCTGTCATACAGTGCAAAACACCTTTGTTCCAGTGCACACAGCTCTGTTACTTGCCTTTTAAGGGATAAACCAGATGATGTACGTCAAATAAGATAACTGTTGTCTTGGAAACAGTTTCTTTAACCTCTTTCTGTTTGAGATCAAATTAGATGCAGCAGCCCACATAACTGATTGTATTCAGTTTAACAAGTTCACTGTTGGCTCACATTCATATTCGCTGATTTAGTCTGCATGCTGATGTTGTGACATCACTGCATCCATTACCTGTCATCAAAGTGGCAGTGTTTCATAACTTTGATTTTACTGTTTGCTTCTTGTATTTCAGCAGGTCTGTGCACGACTCGATGCTTCTGAGATGATCCCAGGACATATAAACAGTCACACTGCATCCTCTCTGACCACCTACAAGTCTGAACCAGGTTAAGAGGCCGATTAGGATTTATAAATAAGCTTCTTTCATTTTCAACTTACAATAGAAATACATAATGAGGACATTTCGTAGTGGATTAATCAGTCTAAATGGCATTTTCATGGTTTCAGATAACGTATATGCATATGCCTATGAAAACAGAAGGCTGAAAACCAGAAAGAAGAAAAGATTGTCTCGAGAAGATCCAGACACCAGGTAAAATTTAAAAACTAAAAAAAAGAAAAAGCTCCAGGTTTAATGTGCTTATTTATAAGGCTGCACAATTTGGGCAAAAATGTTGTGATTATATATCAATATGACTATAAAATAATAATATTATTCGATATTTTATTATGGTTATTATTATTTTATTATTATATAAGTAAAAATACTAAACAATATAAAAAATATCACTATTGCAATATTTCCCTGTAGAATTTTTTTGTATTATTATTTGAGAAAAATATAATAATAATAAATGGTATAATATTGTAAAAACTGTAACAAATTTCAATACTAATAGTCATGGCTTAATAGCTTAATTTTCTCATTAAAGAGATAGTTCACCTTCAGTTTCTGGTCCCCATTGACTTGCATAGTGTTTTTTTCCATACTATGGAAGTCAATGGGGACCAGCAACTGAAGGTGAACTATCCCTTTAAGTATGGGAAGATGTAAGCATCCCAAACTCATTTACTGCAGACCGAGCAGCTCTGAGACACTCCTGTCTAAAAGAACACAATGCTGCACTAAGTCATGCATGATTTAGGTTTTATTTATATTAATTGCTGGTCCTACAAGAAACATTGCAAATTTGTCTTGAAGGTTGAAAGGTAGAAATTTTGTTTTTTTTTGGTTTGTTTTCTACAGTGATAAAGAAGCCCCAGATGGTTCGAAGGTTCCAGTTGTGTGTCTTGAGCGACTCAAGATCCTAGTGTCACAACATTCACCACAGAACCATCAGAGCACAGACCTTACTTCTCAAACAGAGCCTGGACTCAAACCTGAAGAAACTGTCTTCAGGGTGCTAGAGAGAAAGGTCACTTGTCAGGTATCACTTTAATGTTGATGAAATGCTTTTCTAGGTTTTATATCATCTCGCAGTTCATAATAATAATTTTAATGTCCTTCAAGGGAACTTTGGATAAGGAGTCAGTTCAGACAGAGGACAGCGTGTCGCCCATAGAGCAGCTATCACCAGAACATCTGCATAGCAGTGAATCATCTGGCTCCCTTGAGGTTTCTCAGCCTCCTGTGCAAGAATTTTGCAACATAAACCAAGAGTCCAGTGTACTAGCCATCTCCAATGATTCAGACCCTATCTCACAACCTGACACCGAAGAACTAAACTCCCCATCTGAGCTCAGATCAGTGACAGGTTCTGATTTCCAAACTGAATCCACAAGAGAGGCTGAAGCAGGCGCAGATGCAGATGTGGAATCGGAGCTCCTGCAGGAATCAGATCCGAGCGCTGAATCCGAACTGCAGGTCGAATCTGAATCGGATGTGATTTCAGAGCAGCCTCCTGAATCGGTGCTCTCGGCTTCTGAACAGGAATTTGAATCGGATCCAGATTCCACGGCCGAAGTGACTCTGAATCTTGAACCGGAGTCTGAATGGGAAGCGGAGCAGCCGGTTTTTCCACCTGCCGCCGGCTCTGAGACTGTATCAGAACCTGTCGTTGAACATCAACCTGCAGAGGAAAGCCCGGAGATAGAGAATGAAGACTTCTGTGCGGTCTGTCTCATCGGAGGAGACCTTCTCTGCTGTGACCGTTGCCCCAAAGTCTTTCACCTGTCATGCCATGTCCCTCCTCTCCATAGTTTCCCCATGTAAGCCATTCTCCCTCCTACTTCACATATCCACCTGTGTCTTTACTCACTGCTGAAACTAACCTTTATCATCTCGGGCTTCCACAGAGGCGACTGGATTTGCACCCTGTGCAGGGATGTGGAGCAGCCAGAGGTGGAATATGACTGTGAGAATGACCAGATGTCCACGGGTTCGCTACCATATGGGCTGTCGGCGTGTGACCAGAGGGTAAGTGAAGGGGATGCAGAGTCTCATCTGGCCTAGCTCTGACTAATCCTGTGACCTCAGAGATCTGGGAGTCGAAATCCAAAAAGAAGTTCCTCCCTCAAGAGATTTACAGTCTGTCTAACAAAAGTGAAATATCTCTGTTGATGGATGACTTGTCTGTTTGATCACAGAAATGCGAGAAGTTGACGCTGCTGATCCTCAGCAACATTCTCAGCACTCCGTTCCATGAGCCTGTCAGCCCTCTGGTGATTTTAAAAGGAATATCTTATGATTTTATATTTGTAGATGATACTTTTATCTATCTTTCTATCTGTTCATTTTCTGTTTGTATCTATTTATAGGCCCGTCATTATTATCAGATCATCAAGAAACCCATGGATTTGTCTGTCATTCGGAACAGGCTCAGCAGAACCAGCAACACACACTATCGTTCCCCGCAAGAGTTTGTGGCTGATGTCCTGCTCATGTTCAAAAACTGTGCCAAGTTCAACTACGTGAGTGAAATGCATTATTTTGTTAATCGACCTCCTCCTAGCCATTAGTGGTGAATATTTAATTTCATAACTGATTCACATTCAAACGGCCTACTGGTATAATGATTATGCATTACTTTTTTAATATCCTGTTTAATTTAGCTGAAATTAAATTTTTAATAGATTAGGCTAAAAAAAACAACTACACTCATTTGTGTTCGTTCTGTGTATTTGCATTGTATAATAAATGAAGTCCTGAAAGTAAGTTTGGGAGGAGCTTGTTCATCTAATCCTGTCAATCAAATTACAAGAATGTATAAGTGGCTACTTACAGTATCTCACTCTGTCATCCTCCAAATCCATCTTTATTTTTTGTACACTGCATTACCAAAAGTATGTGGCCATGCAGTTACATGATTAGAAACAGGTGCATAAAATCAAGCCATGATGGGGGGTTGTGCTCAAGCCCCCCAGTCCATTTACTCACATCACTCTTTAAGGATTATATGGACATGTTTACTTGTGGCAGAAAGATGAAGATAAATTTGCTTGAGAAGCAAAATTGTTTTCAGCAAAAGGTTTTTTTTTGCTAATATACACTACCAGTTTTTGAATAATTAAGATTTTTTTTTTCTTTCTTTTTATAGTAAGGCTGAATTTATTTTAATATATTTTTAATTTTAATTTATTCTTTTGGAAGTAAAGCTGATTTTCAGCAGCCATTACTCCAGTCTTCAGTGTCACACAATCCTTCAGAAATCATTCTAATATTCTTATCTGGTGTTCAATTATTTAGCAGTTATTATTGGTGCTCAATCATTAATAATGGTTCTTATCATTGTGCTGTGCTTGTGGAAACTGATATATTTTTCAGGATTCTTTGATGAATAGAAAGTTCAAAAGAACAACATTAATTTGAAATAGAAATCTTTACGGTCATAAATCCTTGCTGAATATAAGTTTCTTTCTTTCTTTCTTAAATCTTACCCCAAACTTTTTAATGGTACTGTATCATGTTTTCCACATAAATATTAAGCAGCAAAAACTGATTTCATTCTATATATTATAATATAATAGGAATAATAAGAAGAATAATTTCCTAAGCACCAAATAAGCATATTAGAATGATTTTTGAAGGATCATGTGACACTGAAGACTGCTGAAAATTCAGCTTTGCCATCAAAGGAATAAAATTAATTTAATAATATTTATTAAAATAGAAAACTTAATTTAAGCTTTATAATATATATATATAAACTTTAAATTGTGTTAATATTTCAAAACATTACTGTTTTAATTGCATTTTTAATCAAATAAATGTGGTCTTGATGAGCATAAGAGACTTTTTTCAAAAACACCAAACTTTTGACCAGTATATATATATACAGTGGGTACGGAAAGTATTCAGACCCCCTTAAATTTTTCACTCTTTGTTATATTGCAGCCATTTGCTAAAATCATTTAAGTAAATTTTTTTTCCTCATTAATGTACACACAGCACCCCATATTGACAGAAAAACACAGAATTGTTGACATCTTTGCAGATTTATTAAAAAAGAAAAACTGAAAAATGCTCAGTATTTAGTAGAAGCACCCTCTTGATCTAATACAGCCATGAGTCTTTTTGGGAAAGATGCAACAAGTTTTTCACACATGGATTTGGGGATCCTCTGCCATTCCTCCTTGCAGATCCTCTCCAGTTCTGTCAGGTTGGACGGTAAACGTTGGTGGACAGCCATTTTTAGGTCTCTCCAGAGATGCTCAATTGGGTTTAAGTCAGGGATCTGGCTGGGCCATTCAAGAACAGTCACAGAGTTGTTGTGAAGCCACTCCTTCGTTATTTTAGCTGTGTGCTTAGGGTCATTGTCTTGTTGGAAGGTAAACCTTAGTTCCAGTCTGAGGTCCTGAGCACTCTGGAGAAGGTTTTCGCCCAGGATATCCCTGTACTTGGCCGCATTCATCTTTCCCTCGATTGCAACCAGTCGTCCTGTTATATAAAAAAAAAATTATTAACCATTGTTCACTATATTTAGTTACATTTATCCTTATAAAAAATACGTAAATTTAAGATGTACTCTCTACATTTAATATCTTACTTTTGTGGAAAACAAGACAAAAATAATTACGAAGATTTTTTTTGTAGATTTTGATGCAATTATTTATTAGCGTCAATATGGTAGAACATTATTGTGGAGGATCATTTACTTTAGTTGGATATACTATTAAATATGTATAGGAATTTAGTCAGACCTTGGATATACTATTAAATATGTATAGGAATTTAGTCAGACATATGGTTGTCTGTAGATCTTAAGAGGTCAGATACTGTAGATGCTGACTGCGCTGCTTTCTTTCTCCAGCCGGACTCAGAGGTGGCTCAGGCAGGCCACAGTCTACAGTCCTTTTTTACATCCAAACTGAGGGAGGTTTTCCCAGATCTGACCTGCCCTGTCCAGGAGGAGGAGGACTCAGACAATGAGGATTACGAGGAGCTGGAGAGAGCTATGGCGACTGGATTTCCCTGGCCTGAGAGAAAAGAGCAGAGCCACAGGAAGAGGAAGAGAAGGCACTCCCTCAACTGGAGGAGAAATCACTATTAGTTGTGCCTCTCTCTCTCTATATATATATGTACAGAGACTTTTGACCTACTCGCTCTGAGTTTTCCATCCTGTGTGACTTACTGTTTTTTAAAGATTCATGTTGAAATACAGTATATGCTTTTCTGAGGACTAATCTCACACATTATAACCAGTTGATGTGTTATGCTGTTATCTGTAGCTGTGGGTAGGTGTTGATATAAGCCTATATCTCTAGACTTCGCCGAAGGTCTTGCACTAGTATTTATTCCAATGCATACACTTACATTAAAATGTACAATCAATTTGATAGCTGACTGGTTGCTGGCAGTTGCTACTTAGTAAATATAGATAAGCAACATTAATTGGTAATATTATATATTTGCTCTAAATTTCATTCTTCTTTTGATCCAAATATGCCTTATAATGAGGTAGTTTTTCCAGTTGTTTTACTGTGATGACTTTAATGATCTGTAGAGGGAGCACTTCATATAGCCTGTGGCAACACATTAGTTCATATCTGACTTTTTCAGTGGCAGGAGCAGTGCTTAATTTGAGCCAGATCCTGTTCCGGAAAATGTCAGATTTGGGATTTTTCGTTCCGGTAATTGTTTTTAAGAATCCGCCATTAGATCGTGATTAGATGCGTGCGTGCATATGAGAGCGAGCGCATATTTGGAGGTTATGCATTGGTCCTCAACATAATTTTGAGCGAGCACATATTTGGAGGTTATGCATTGGTCCTCAACATATTTTTGACCGTGACCAGTTAGCTTTCTTCAAACTCACTCTCATTGATGTTTTGTGAACAGCAGAACGTTTGGAGAGAGTGTAATAATACCAGAAATAATACCAAATAAAGTGAAATATTATAGGCTAATGTATAAACACTACAAACATAGCTATACGTTAGTATAGCTCACTCCAAAACAAATCATATAAATGTAACGGTATTCAGAACAGAACAAGAATGAAATAAAAATATATATACCTAAAGAAACCAAAACAAAGCGAAACTGAAAGTACCAGGGTTAATTGGGCTCACCTACCTCTCATTCGGCACAAATCCTAATGTTTCCATATTCGCAATGTATTTGAATGAAACTATTATTTATAATGTAGAGGCTTTGTACTTCAGGCGCGTTCATATATTGACAGAAATATCATCTTCACATGAGCAAAAATGTGCTTGGCATACAAAGTGGACCGGTTATACCACGGACTATTTAAATTGACCAGTGTAACCTTTTTTGGTTGACTGTATTTTATTTTGATAATGAACAGACTGCGGTGTTTGAGTTGCGAATATGTTGTCTGTGTGTGTGTGTGTGTGTGTGTGTGAGCGCGCGAGGCGCCGGCGTGTTAATAGTGTTCACCGTCTGTTTGATTACATGCCATTATATTGCATTATTTCAGTATAATGTGTGTCACCATGATGGTGTTTAGTGTTTTTTGGTTTAGTGTGAATGACACTGTGCACTTTCTATATATAAGTATTGCCCTCCTCACCTCGTAGAAAAGCTGTTTGTGATGGGCTTTGGTTCATCATGTGACTTTCTCATCACCACCAGGGTAGGCCTAACCATGTTTTTTTGTTGTTTTTTTTGGCAAATGGATTACCATTTGTCTTTATTTTGACTACAAATTCCATGGTTAAACTATGGTTAGTGTAGCCAAAACCA